GAAGTACTTGCATTTCGGTAGAGCAAAGTGTAGCCCAAAACGATAGACAGCCAGCGCTAATCGGTCCAGTGCTGCTTGGCATGTTTGGGAGCTGTCACAGATTAGGGCAATATCGTCCGCATAATCCAAGTCAAGAAGTCGCTCACCAGGAAGTAGTTCCACACCTCCTAGGTCGTGTCCAGCGAATGCTGTTTCCATGACTTCGTCAGTAGCGAAGTTAAATAGGAAAGGTGACAGCGGGCAATCTTGTCTCACACCGCTGGTGATACTGAAGGGTGGCGACAGTTTGCCATAAACCCTCAACCTTACCGAACTATGTGCGTAGAGCGCATTATTAATGTTTGCGTATTTCTCAGGCACACCTTTCCTCAGCAGCATTCTCAAAGGGTACATCGATCCACCGAATCGAAGGCACCTCTTATGTTAAGAAACACGACACCGGTGGGTGGCCAATAAACATGGCGGTGCTCCAACACTTGACGCAATGTGAAGATGTGGTCGATGCAGCCCCCAGCTCGACAAAACCCGGCTTGCCTTTCACAAATCTGGCTTTCACGAGTGCCAGTCAGTCTGTGGAAAATGACAGACGCAAGCAATTTATATGCAATCGAAATCAGACTGATCCCTCTATGACTGCCGTATTTCGAACGGGAGCCTCCTTTGAAAACTGGGACTATGACGGAGCGGCTTCATTTTGTCGGGACAGTCTCCTGCTCCCGAAGTTTCACTAGCAACTCGTGTAAATTATCTACTGAAGAAGGTCTCCCGAATTCGAAGAGGGCTGGGGGAATTCTATCTGCCCCTGCGGCCTTATGCAATTTCAACAGCCTGATCTCACGTTCGACTTCTGCGCGTGAGGGCGGATCCAAGGAGACGGCCCAGGGAGAAGGGCGCTCAATGCCCGAAAAGGAAAGCGATAACTCAGGTTGGTTAAACTGTCTTGCAAAATGTTCGGCGTGTGCATGGGGCACAAGTGTGAAATCGTGATCACGGGAGTATGGTCTCACATGTCTGCCAGTAAGTGCGAGATCTTGTTATGTGCGAGAGTTGCCAGCCAGGCGCGCTCGTGGTCATTGCGCCTCCAGCCGGGGAGTCGAGATCGCCCGACTACAGCCAATTTCGGTGTTAGCGCCCGCATACATTGGGCCCAAGCCATTTGTTAGCCACCGTGCTTTCACCTCCAGCCGACTTCTGCACGCGCAAAAAGGATACGATTAGGTAAACGTTCAGTAGGCATGCAAACCACGTGCCTAAGGCACTGTGGCCTGTGCAGTGATGTTATGCAGCTCAGCGACCGACAGATTTTGTTTTATTTGAAAATCCCCCGACGAACGTCGTCATTATTACTGCGATGTTGCTGTCGTGCACAAGCAACACTTCGAAGGCAGTGGTGATCAAAAATACACCTCATCGGAACATCTTTTGCGCGATCAGGCCAAGTTGCGCTATCATATAGCAGGACCGCACTCGCACTAGCATAATAGACTCGGCCTTTCAGACAGATGATTAGATCGCGTCGACGCCAGAGCCGGTGGAGAATAGAAAAGCAAGCCGAGCCTTAGAGATGCGCAAAATGACCTCATGCGTTAAACGCTTAGCGCCGAGACGGACAAACTTCCAAAGAAAGTGAGAGGAGCAGCTTCTAACCAGTCCTACAGACACATCTTGCAATTTGAAGGGGCAAAGACCATTTCGAAGGGTGAGACAGATACCTTCAACTTACGTAGTACATTTTGGGCGGCTTGTGTGTCGTTTGCATACTCCAAGTCGCGAAGTCGGTCTCCAAGACGTAGCTGGACGCCACTGGGTTCGTAATTGGGCAGAGCACTCCCCAGAATGCCATCCATAGCGAAGTCGGACAGGAAGCGTGATGAGGAGTAACCCTATCTCACGCCACTGGTGATATTGAACAGGGGCGAAAGTTTACCTTCCGCACGCACTCTGATCGGGATTCGACAGTAAACGGCCTTTAAAGTGTTAACATATGTCTCCGGTACTCCCTTACTTAACAGAAAATTCCAGAGAGCAGGGTGGTCGACTGGGTCAAGTGGGACCGGTATGATCGCTGGTTGGGCGAACGTTTGACGATGTTCGTGTATCTGGCGGATTGTAAAAATAGAGCTGTCCGGTGCCACCAAAACGTAGAGCGACCTTATCACACATGACCGCATAGTCCGAAGGGAGGCGTGTATTCCAGAGTGATTTGTAATCCTTTATGCAGTCACGCCAGAGATAACTGATGGCGATGATTTGTGTCCACGGTTGGTCAGGTGATTGAGGACTCCGGGTGGCGCGTTGGTGCCAGGATCGCCGAAATCTGATACTAGAGGGAAATAGGATATGGTCAGTAAAGAGCTGAAGTAGGTGATCACTGTTCTCCGTCCTGTGAATGCTATGGTCATGTTGAGGAGAGAGTTCACGTTCGTCCGCAGTGTAGTTCTCCATAAAGCACATTTTTCTGAGATCGGAAGGTTGGCAGGTCAATTCCCCCTTATCTGAGTTAGAGCTGCAGTACTTGGGAGCACATATCGCTACAAGCAACAAATGTCTGCCGGGTCCGTGGCTGGACGATCGTACTGAGGTTGCTAAATGAATTGCGCAAAACCGGTTGTTAGCAGGGATCCAGTCGAGTAGCGCAGGCTCAGCACGTGTGCTCACGCCGGCATGATCAGCGGATTCGATCGTTGGGTCTCCAGATAGGCGCAATGTGAAAATGCCAGCGGAACTCACAACGGTGAAGCAAGCCCTAGTGTAGTGCCGAAGTCCTGTAAACGGGTCCCAGTGAAACAGCAAATGTCAATCGCAGTGGTTTCTGGAGTGCGAGTAATGACTGTGATCCGATCTGCATTACTGTTCAAACACCAGAGGTAACCAGTATGAATTGGGACGGGGTGCTAGAAGGGGCTTACCGATGGGATTGGGCGGTGTACCCTTGGAGCTGGCGCGTGTGGGAAAACTCTCACCTAAAGCGGCACAATGTCGTGAACTCGAAAACAGAGGAGGGTTAGCAAAATGGAGAGGTTGAGCAAACGTGGAGTAAAGTAGTTGGACGGTTGTGTTGTACAGCGCGGTTCAGTAGTTACGGCCGCCAACACCTTGGCCGAGGTTAGCAGTTCCAGAAAGCAAACGGAGTGAGCAGAAACATTGATCCGCAGGTTATGTGGGTATGGTACTTCCCAGATGCCCAGGCCAAGAGAGTTAGCTTAGGTTACCTGCTCGCAGTCTTGAGCCATAAAACCTGGCCCGTTAGGCAGTGAATCGATACACGTATATCGCAAACAGGCGGGAGCCGGATATGAAAGTAAGAATAACACAACTTTCTAGTAGCAACGAATTACTCAGAGCACGGTCCAAGTGAAGTAGCACGGAAGACAGAAAAAGGTTCCTGAACAATCGGACTCACCATGAGGCACGAAGGTCGTTGACGTCCAGTTGGCTCATACGCCTTCACAGCGTTCTCTCCAAATAGAATCCAGTGGCCTACAAGATAGTTCAGTTGTCCTATGAAGCAAAAAGCATCAGCGGTACGCCGGTACATCGTACTGACGCTTCACTAATAAGCGACATCGTCGGTCACGCGTAGTATGAGAATACCGCGACGTCCCCCGCACCAACGTGGGTTCGAACCGGTGACCTCCTGATTACCCTATAGCCCGTCACATTAGTTTCGATACAGCGCCGTACGAGCTTTGGTGGCATTTATTGAGGAACCAGGTGGACAGCCCAGTAACACCGACGCTCTAAAACGCTGTCATTGATTGTCTGCGACTACTTATTCATCTTGCTCATAAACAGAGAGAGACTTATTCGCAATTACATCTACAAGGAAGGCAATCTCCGATCCGCCCGGTACCGTACAGCTCTGGCAAAGCAAACAGTGGTCGGTTAAATGCTAGTATTAATCAGTTTTTCGTCTATTCACGGAGTTAGCTGCGCTGGTTACGGCATTTAAGCGTATCTATTTGCATTTTAATTGAGACCTCTCCCATTTGCTCCATCACTGTTAATTATACTTGCCAAGGCGATGCGTGTAACGGCGGCTGGATCCGGCGCACCTAGGCGCTCGTGCAGACGCATTCCAACTGAACTGCAATGAACTTATTCACCGCTACGAAACACGGTATTTGTAGCTGGGGCATGAAGTCCCTGGGCACCTGCGTGGCAAAAGGTACAAGTAGTTGCAAGTGAAATCTCCACCATATGGTTACATTGCAATAGAAAAAATAAGTAATGCGATGGGTTAGCACAGTGTTGGATGGAGTGCCAAAACACGCTGGATAAGCGAGCCATCTAGATGGTTGCATAGTGGGGATTAGATTATCTTGCAGTCCTAGAGTCTGAAAAAGCGGACTGATAAAAGTTAAAAAAATAAGTGGAATAAGCATGAAATTAACCGGAACAAAGAATCAACCAGGATGGTGGACAGTAGTCCGTCGCATCCCGATCTGCGGCACGCCGACCACATCCTTCCGCTGGTATTGTCAGATGATTAGTGAAAGTGATGCGTAATCAGAACTACAATAAACAAATGTAACCTGTTGATAGGCGACAGCTGCAAAGAAATCGTATCACAGAGGAAGACGACCACTATGGCAGAAACCGAAGCGTGTAAAAACGACGAATGGATACAGTCACACAAGACAATTTTCCTTACCGCGTTTACTTTTCTGAAGGATTTCGCATGCTTCAGAAAGGGTCGTTCCAGCAGTTGCTGTTGTTAGCTCTTCGAAGGGGGTCATGTACTGAAAGAAAAAGAGGGAATTATGAGGGATCACGTGAAAGAATCCAGACTGAAATCTCATCATAAAGAGGCAAGCTTCTGTTTTCATCAGAAATTAGCGATTAGGATTAAAGACAGTACATACGTAGGTTAGGAAACGCGATAACTAGAAGATAAGTGACAGTGCATGACGTAGAAAAGTAATAAGCTGAAGGAAAGGTGGTACACTACATGCTAGATCGATCAGTTAGCTAAAAGCACTGGTATTAAGACGCTTGACAGACTGAGTGAACAGTACTGGACTATACATGGTGATTTAAGTAGAACCCAACAAAACAAAGGAATGGTTGACAGGCAAAGTCCAGCCTAGTCGTCGATAGACAACTAGAATTCAATGGCTGGGTGGGTGAAACCAAAGATGAACGAACCTCCTGCAATTGGTGATTCATTGCATCAGGGCCCAAAAAATCGATATCACGCAGGCTCACTAATCCAACAAGGCGACCGCCAGGCACCCCATTCTCAGTCACGGGCATACCGCTGAAACCATACTTCTTTTTCAACTGCAAAAGGTCTGAAACCGTATTGGTTGGTGCGACGACGACTGGGTCCAGAATAAAACCTTGTCTGTATTTCTGGGTCAAAATGAAAACCATAATATGACAGATTGAGTAAGGGCCTCCGAAATCGCACAAGAATTAGAACGGCAAAAGCTGAGACTAGAAATAAATAATGCGAAATTCACATATCCGAGTAAAAATGGAAACCAAATTACCGACTAAACAAAGAGATGGAAACCAGAACGGAAACGGCAACACACTCATATGTATGATTCTAATTAACAGAAAACGGCTGGCGCATTAAGAACAGAAACGGAAAATATCGTCTCAAATCAGTGTCCCAACTTCATTAACGTCACTTACCGTTTTTTCTACGGTATATAAATGGTACAGAGAGAAAAATGAAAACCATCAGACTGGACTATATGCAACTTGTAGAAAACAAACGAGAAGAAAACACATTTCTTGGCATCTGAAAGTATTATCAGCGGATTATGGATTTGGAGGCATTATCAACTACCCGAGTGAAACCCCCACTAAAATGCCTAAAAAGAAAGAGGAAGTCAGGAATTGCAAGTTAGCAGTAATTATTGGAATAAGTGATCAGATGAGAACTGAGTAACTGATTAAACGCGAGAACATTGCGGTAGAGCTCAACGAAGTGCTGATTAAAACCCGGTACATGTAAACGCCAGATCAGATATGCAGCTTTAACAAAGTACAGGCAGGCGTATCATCGAACGGTGACAGATATTCGTTGAGCACTGCAGTCACCAAGATCGAATGGCTCTAGTTTTCTCATTGGGCCACAATATTCATGCTGTAATGTAATTTCAAGTCTGTCTATGCAGTAGCAAGGGAAGTACAACATGACCTAAATGTTTCCTAAGTGGTGAGGGAAGGATATCGTGTCACTGCACATCATGCGGATTTGTCAAGTAAGGCTGACCACAGATGACCTGCGGTTAGTCACACTCAGTGCTGCCTGTAACGCTGTCTGTGGTTCAGCCGGCAAAGATGAAAACCGGAAAGGACAAAAACAGTAAGTTGCGGTCAACACTTGATAGAGCAGTGTAAGTTGAGCCCAAACACACAATTCGTTCACCCAGCTGATAGACTATGTGATGATAGACATCGATAACGAATCCAAATCACGTAGAATGACTCAAGGAAAAGAAATGCTCTTGTGGTTAGGTAGAACAATGCTTGCGGTTTGAGCTGTACCAACAAGATAACACAGAGCCAAAATAAGACCGATTCGCAATCAAAGTGTATCGGCTCTCGTGAATGGAAGCATCCAAGGTTCATGTATAGAAACTAACCTTCGTCTTGCGTACTTCCGAAGACTGGAATGCGATTGAACAATTGTTATGAATAAAGCCGATACCTCCACGAAGCTGCAAAAACAGATGATCTAACAATAGCAAGTTACCGCCATTGCAATGGCCATATTCGCCTCTGTGACTGTGTCCATTGGCGACGAAACAAACGGTACTTTCAGATGCACATTTTTGGTCAAGTCGCTACTTATGTCGATATCCACAGAATTTGAATGGATGAAACCCGGGAGTATGATTATATCACTTGAAAAAGTGCACAGGACTAAGTGATTAATACTTGTAGGTGAGACTTCCAGAATCTGAGAAAAGAGCGTGCACAGAACAACCGTCAGCCTGTATTAGATCGACGGATTCCTCAGCTAAGAGTGCACTGTTCATTTTTGGAAATGGCTGAAGAGGAATAACAAATAGTAGTTAGTGGTACCTTTATAATTACCTAATGGACTATCACAGACTGTGACACGCTCATGAGTGTCAGCGCAAGAGAGTGGAATGACGGTCACGCTAATATGGGAAACTGTAAGAGATAGACGGAAAGAAGAAAGACATCAGCAGTATTCCGGTACGCAGTATCGATGCTTCGCTGCCGCGCAACCACTACCAGTTGCAGGAGGGCTAAGGAGAGGGAGAGGGTCGCCCTGTCTCTACGCAGGCGCGAACCCGACACGTCAGATTATAAAACAAGCTTGTTACCTTTAGAAGACGGGCCGGTGATTACCTGTATGACTATTCGTCACAAACCAAGGTAAGCAGTTCGCTTCGGGTTAGCTAAGTGTGTGGTGAGATTTACGTGTTCTAGATCTATTTCGAGTGGGGTATACTTAACTTGTGTTACCAATGGTCCGGAGAGGCTGCCTCAGTCACCTTGTCATATCGATGGAGCTCCAGGTATTGCGGGACCACACCACACCTACAGTTACACGAAGTTAGAAGCATGTAAGCCATGAATGAACTTGCGGTGCCTAGGTTATCAGCATCATCATCGACAACAGTGCATCAGTCATCTGAACTAATGTTTCGCTGCCGTCCAACCACAATGACCTACGGTAGGAAGAGAAGAGGGATCCAGCATAAAAGCTTAATGTTATGAACAAACATACAGGATCAAGGCAAGTACACCTTGTCAACAATATACTGTCACAAGCAGCTGGCTATCATGCAAAGGTCATCGGCACGATAACTGGGCAAACATTCATTACGCCGCCGGGAATTCGAATTAGCGGTTGCTGTTCTCCTTGGAGTACCGTTTGTTATGCTATCTACTACGGATATATCCATTTTATTGTGTTGTTTTCGGAATTTTGTTTAGCTGTGCCACTCTAAGGTCATCAATGATATTCCATTCTGCTGAATTTGTGATCGCGTTTCGAAGCGCTGCACGAAGCATACTTGATGCCGTATGCGGTAGAAAGATCAGAGATACTACCAAGCGAATTTTCAAAAAAGAACATTCTGGTAAAATGAGAAGACATCGCGCTGATTGGCAAGTTGGCCTCATACACTGTCCTGTATGTAAAGAAGGAATGCTTCTGATTCGCTCCAGCAATGAGTGTGTTACCAAGGCCCGTCCATAGTAGCCATGGAAGCCAGCTCTTTTTCTGTCTGGAGCAGCCCGATGAAGATTGGTTGTATGCCGCCTGTAGCCGATTGGCTAGCCAATGAGAGTAAGCCAATGGTATCGTTTTACCTTGAAGTAGACCAATCAGAATGACCTGCCTTGAAGCCTCCAGTAAGCACACTGCTTGAGCAGCAACCAAGCGAGTTTTTGCGCAGCTAGTAGTTACTATCGTCAGGAGGTTTCAATTAGGTCTTTCATGAACTATTTATTTTGACCCCATATTACATATGTACATTCTGTCTCCCGAGTGTTCCCTACAAGTTCCACCAGAGGCCTTTGTCTTCTGATTTGGAAAGTGGCTGTATCGCGACCAGAGTGGCTGCATCGGTTATCCGTACTAGCAGCGGAAACACAACAGTGCCTTCTCTCCTCAGTAAAACTGCCGACTTTACTGTCACTATGAAACGTAAGGAATTTGCAAATACAGGTGTTGTGATGCTTCATGAAAGTTGGCTCCATCCTGAAGTGGAGGACGAGGTTATCCAGCTCAGCAACTATCGTGCACTCAGACGTACTTAACCCGCAGCAAGAATGCAAATCCAGTTCACTAGCACTTCGATGGTGTAATTGAATGCAAAGGATAAGTGGCCTGTTCACACCAATTTAATATGTATTTACTATTTTTCTTGCTCCTGTGAGCAGAACACATTGGTCATACGACAAGGTGTCTATCCGAGCGAGTGAAGGAACGTCACCCGGTGTGGCTTGGAGCTGGGAGCAGAAAACCAGCCAACTTCTCAATAGTCGCTGACACAGGGCATGCCACTAAATCAGCTGATCTTACAAAATTATCTATCAGGCCCTGGCGAACCGATCGAACTACCTGCGTAAAAGAGTAGTAGGTGCTGAGGCAATTGCGATTCGACCGTATGACCCGGAGTTGTGTATCCATAAGAAGCTAACTAGAGGATTGGGACTATCATGGTCCAAAGGCCTGACGACCTCTGACCCGCCAGGTCAATTGTTGTAACCTAACGGACAGTCACAGTCAGTATTTAATTCGCTTCTGGACTAACGACTGGTATTGTCTGTCTATTCATTTTGTTTTTATTTGTATATAACTGTAGAAGCCTGATGAGGAATTATGGAAAATATATGTTCGCATATACTGATTTCTGATCTAAACCTTCCTCATACACAGGGCAAGCAATGATATAGTGGATGTTCGAGAATGCATTTGAAGAATATGTCAACGTTACTACCAGAGGTCGTGTGGAGAGTGCCCTCTCCACGTTGGATGTTGTGATCACGAAGCATGGTTGCTTGACGGCCACATATGGAGGCACCTATGGGTAAGAGTGAAGATTGCGTTCTTACTTTCTGTATGAACACACCGAATATTGCACGGAACCCTTGATTCGTGAGAAATATCAGTCCAATTGATTACGTGAAATTGAGGGACAAGACTTTTAGGTCACCTGGATTCATGAACAGGAACAGGAATTTTTGAAAAAGAGGTGGCTTTTTCTTAAACGCGACTACTGGACGAGTATGTTCCATTTTTTCCTGTGCGACGTTTCATTAGGCCACGAGGGTGGAGGAGGAAAATCGATGGAGCGCATAAAAGGTGTAATGATAAGTGGAAAAGATACCAAGAATCCAACGGCTTCCGACGTTGATTGTAGTAAAAAGATGCTGGAATATGGCTAGCAATTTACGATGATAGGCGAAATGCCCATATGAGCCTAGGTTGACCGGAATAGTCAAAATAAACCAAATCCATCATCAGCAGCAGCAGCAGTTCATCAGCCACTTTAACTGATGCTTCACTGCCGTAGAACCACAGAGAGAAACGAAACGAAGAACAATAAGAGGAAGAGAAGGGTGACTTACTGAAAAGCCATAATGACCTAAATAAACACTCGGGGTCAAGGCGCCTACACATCGTTAACAACATACTGTCACAAACCGCTGGCTATCTTGCAGATAAGGTGGTATCGGCGAGACAGCTTCCTTGCGGCTTTCACTGCCCCGCGTCATAATCAGCCATTACCCTGCAGATAACTCAGCACCAAACATAGTTTCAACGTGCAGGCGGACTAGGAGACCGCAGTAGACACGCCACTGGTGTCGACTGCGAGCCATGTCCTGTAGTAACTCAAGCCAAGCACAATGCGGGTCACGTGGACACCAGCCTGGAACGTGGAACAGACTGACGGCACTGGGTTGGGGCGTCAGTGACTTCATTTCCCGCTGCCAAGCTAATTTTTGCCCACCTCGATCCATGCGCCTCCTTACATCTGGTAAACAAACCAAGGCCCTCCTAGGCAAGCGGTGACCGGCCATACGTAGTACGTGCCCAAGCCAACGCAACTTATTCAGTGCTATCTGTTGTTCTAAGCAAATAGCCTGGTTATTACTGCCTAGTACTCGCTTACGCACAACATCGTTGCAGACAGGCTGGTGCCATCCGACTCCAGCAATGCTCTGCAGAGAGGATGATCGAAGTCTCACGCCCATGGAGTTGGCCGGCCCTCACTGTGGCCTTGTAAACACGGCCTTTTAGAGGGAGGAGAACTCCCTTCTGTCGCCAAAAATGTTGTAAATTCAAGAAGGTAGTTCTGCTTTTGCAATGTGTGAATTGACTTCAGTTGCTATGCGCCCACCGTTGCTGATACTACTGCCAACGTAAGTGAATTGGTCAACTGCCTCAAGTTCGTCGTCGGCTTGGGAAACTGGGTAGCATCACGCCCTCTCGCAAAACCACGGACTGTATTACAACGTGCTCATCAGCTACTGTTTCTGCTAATCACTTTCACGCTACTTCATCACACGCCAACTTTTTGTTTGTTAACAATCCTCACTTTCCGTTATCCGATTCATGTGTTCAGCAATCTGGCTGCGATTCCGGTTGCGCAGCAGACCAAGTGGTTCAACCTATGGCTCTCCTTCGTCCCCGATCCTCATTTCGTCTGCAGTGCTTCAACGTTCGGACACTCATGCAGATTGGACAGCAAGCCGGTCTAGCGCGCACCCAAGATTCCGTAGACATTGATGTCTGCTGGCTTTCAGAAACCCGATTGCAAGATCCCAGCACTGTGCTTACATTGACATCCCTCACTGAGCACGAAGCTAGATATCACCTGCGACTTTCTGGAGATCCAGAAGCAGCCTCAACGAGTTTGGCTGGCGTACGTATAGCACTAAGTGGCAAGACCGAGGCGGCACTACTGGACTGGTTCCCTATTAACAGCCGACTATGTGCAGTTTGGCTTCGGGGTTCATGTAGAATCAACAGGCACCGCGAAGAGAGACACGACTTGTTTGTGATCTCCGTGTACGCTCCAACTGACTGCAGTGGCGACTCGGTCCAGGACGAATTCTACCGGGATCTACAACAGCTCTTGACTAATGCTAAAAGGTCTGATGTCGTTATCCTTGCTGGGGATTTTAATGCACGAGTTGGCCGCCTGTTACCATACGAACGCCACCTTGGTGGTCATCACGCGCTCGATGAGAACCGCTCTGATAACGGAGACCTCTCACATTGTGCGAAGACAACCGTCTGTTTCTTTCCAGCACTAACTTCAGGCGTACGAAGAAGCGTTCCGCAACTTGGCATCCCTCTTCTTAAACACAACCGTGGTCTCGAATTGATCACATTGCAATTAGCTTCAGATGACGCGGCAGCGTACTGGACTGCAGGTCCTTTTGGTCCACCTTCGTTGACTCAGATCATGCGCTGGTCTGCGCGAAAATCTGTATATTTTGGAGGATTCCGAAACATGAAGCACCGCAAGATTGATGTAAACAGATTAACTGATTCCTTTGTCCAGGCGAGCTATCAGTCTTCACTGGCATATGCACTCAGTTGCAATCCACCGCAAAAAGTGGAACAACACTGGACGTGTATACGGAAGGCGATGACCATTTCCGGACAGTCATGCTGCGGCCTAACT